CTGCCTCTCCCCTGCAGTCTGGGGCAAGGGGGGGAGGGGAGACGCGCCATCATAGGCATTGTTTGTGGGGGCAGTGAGTGCTAGGGTCTCGGGGCGGGGTTGTGATGGGGGACATACTACGGTAGAAGGGCTGAGGAGGGGCCTGTGTTTAATAATGGGATTCTGGTGGTGAGGCCTTCACTGAGGAAGGAGGAGGGGAAGGGATGAGAGGGGGTGGAGATGGTAGAAATGGAGCTGACAAAATGGCCAAGCAGTCAGCCACTGAAGCTGACTTCAGTGCACCTCTCAGGCTCCTAAAATATTAAGGGGGGGGGACGCTGCCCGCCCCCCCCCTAAGTCCTTGCCTCGCGCAAAGCCTGGATCCCTAAGGTGTGGGACTCTCCTCCCCGTCAGCTACGATTAGCTTTGGGGCCTGTGTGGTTGCTAACACAAAAGGCTAGTGTCAGGGTTGACACTACTGCACCAGATTTGTATTTGCCTTCCCTCCATTAACCACTTTTCCTTTCTGCTGTTATACCTATTTTCAAGGAGCTATCGGATCTACTTCTCATAATAGCAACAGCAACACAAAAGCCAGAAAGAAAAGGCGAAATAATCTGTCGCCGTCCATATTTCCCCTGTGTTGTGTGAAGATATAAAGAGGTATTATGAGGAGTGTAAGATCAGGGGGGTGTTGATTCAAGTTACAATAGTGACTACCCAGGAAAGTATTATTTCCATCCGCATTTGTTCAGAGCCGTGTTTTTCTTTCCTTTCTTTGTGTGTGTGGCTTTCGTTATAGTAACCAGTCCTTTGGCCCTGCCGTTTGTTTACATAATGTTCACACGTACATTCTCTCTGCCCCCGTCGCCCCTTTTACTAGTAGCCCGTGATACTGTATCGGTGAGAGTAGCTGGATTTTTGGGCCTCCTTATTTCCATCCGCATTTGTTCAGAGCCGTGTTTTTCTTTCCTTTCTTTGTGTGTGTGGCTTTCGTTATAGTAACCAGTCCTTTGGCCCTGCCGTTTGTTTACATAATGTTCACACGTACATTCTCTCTGCCCCCGTCGCCCCTTTTACTAGTAGCCCGTGATACTGTATCGGTGAGAGTAGCTGGATTTTTGGGCCTCCGTGAAGATTCTTTTTGTGGTGCTCACAACCCTCGCGCCGATCCCTTTCTAGCTGCTGTCCTGGCTGTCTGGGGTTGGTAAACAAACTGATGCCGGGGCTTTTACCAGAGCTGCAGGCCCATCTTCCTGCTGTTCAACTTTTTTATTGTTCCCCTCCCCCCCATGAACTGGCTGTGTGTGAAGGGGTTGGGAGTCTCAAAGTCTAGAGACTGTGAACCGGAAAATAATAGGGTGAAGAGTGGAAAGTTGTGTCACGGGCTTTGGGGGAAAAACATCGACGTAAGGAACAAAGGTCCTGTCTGAAATGGAGAGGAAGAGAGGCCTTCCTATGAGGCCCGATTGTGTCGCATTTACACAAGGGGGAAAAAAATGGAATCTTGGCACTGGTTTAAATTCACCTCGTAAGTTTGGCATACAGTTTAGAAACATTTTAGAATGCATACAGTTTGTTTTTTAGGGTGGCTTTGATATATGCTGCCATCCATCCCTAATTCAGGGTAAGTTTGAGTGTAAACAATCTTTTTTCACGCTGTTCAGCAGTAGAATTGGTACACCAGATCTAAGGCCACATCATAAAAGTTTACTGTAGCTGGGTGACTTTATGAATTGCTCTAGTTGAAAGCATAAGCTTACCTTTTCATGGAGTTCTTAGGGCTGTCAAAGGCAATTGGAATAAGGGTACTGAATTGACAGCCAAATCCTTTATCACAAGAGAAAGGAACTCTTTAAAAGCTTCATTTTGTATTTTAATGTAGACACTATCCTCAAAATAAATAAGACTGGGCTTGTCTCTGAATACTATGTATAAGCCAAGCATTAGCTAACAATCCTATAATTCAGGATATGCTTTCTAATGTCTTCATATTTTATTATTTTCCCCTCTACCCTGGAATTCTGTAATATGGTGGCTTCTCTAAAAAGATAAGAACAACACTCCCCAAATTCAGTTCTTAATGAGTCTTTAAAGTATCTGATAAGTTGGTTTAGTTTTAAGCTTAATATTAAAAAGCTAAAATTGTCAAGCCACTACAATGAACTTCAAAGCAATATTTCAGTGAGTAAATACTGTAAATAAGGCAGTTTTAGACAACTAATTACAAAGCAGTATTCAAAATGGTCTAACAAACTGTGGTAAGTTTTAACTTTTTAACCACACTTAAATTTTTAAAAGGCTCTTCGTTATGTGCTTCAGGTGCATATGTATTTATGTTCCTTCTATAAAGTAAAGGAATACTTCCGAAACTTGTCACATCCATAAAGCCTCTCAGTCTTAGAAACCTAAGGAAGAAAGATGGGCTGCCTCCATACTTGCACTCATTGGTTGTTGGACCAACTTGAGCAATTAATTTGTCTCAATGTTACTCTTCCTGAGAGAGATCCCAAACCTCAAGATGGCTAACATTCAGGATCTGTGAACCAGCCGCTCTTTATGAGCTCACATTGAACGTTTCATCCCAGCAAGGGCCCATTCCAGAATATTTAGGATTTTATAGGACATCTAATGCTCTTTTTACAGAGACAGAATGGAACCAAATGAAAACTACTCCAGCCACTGACCACAGGCTAGGGGCCAGTGTTTTGTTTCCACGAATGGATTATTTGTCCCTTCAAAAATAGACACTGAAAGTACACTAACATGTAATCTTTAAACTTCAAAAGCAAGGAAATGTGTAATTGTAGTGAAGATGCAAAGCCATGGACAACACAACCTCAATAACAAAGGCCTGTAAACAGTGGGTGTTAAAATGCAATACCTAGGCAGAAAAATGTAACCAATTAGCTTTGAGTTTTCTTGCTTGCCTCTATTAGGCTGCATCTGTAACCAGGCCTCCATGTCTCAAGGATCTGAGAGATAAACAGCCTATAGAAAAGTTGTCCCCTTAAGCCATGTTGTCTAGCTTAGTTAAGAGCATAGCTAGAGTTCCTCTGTCTAGGGATGTAAAATCCAATTTGGTATGTTTAACTAATTAAACAATTATTCATCTGGTTAAATGATTATATGGGTTGCAAGCAGAGTGTCTCAGCCACCCCACACAAGTAGGGGCTGCTCTGGCCTGACTGGAGTAGCACTTGTCTGTGGTGTTCCAAGGGGCTGCTCCCATGTCTGGGTGTCTGCCTGCAGGGTGCCTAGGCCTATCCCAGGCAGGGGCTACTCCAGCCTGGCTGAGCAGCCCGTGTCTGCGATGGGCTCTCTGAGGGGCTGGAGCTGCCCGCTGCCCTCAGCAGGCTGGGAGCTGCTTCTTCCTCCACCTGTTAACCAGTAAGACTTGCCTGTTACCAAGAGGCTTACTAGTTAAACATTCGCATCCCTACTCTGTACTATATGTTCTGGTTCAGGATTCCATGGTTGCTTGCATTTTGTGGGGGCAGATGGGGCCTAAACATAGCTTTGTTGGTTTCTCTAAACAATAGGCTATAACTTCTATGGATTATAAAGATTTAGATAAATTTCTTAGATGGCTAAAACTTACTATTAAATGTTGTATACTGCTTGTAATGATTTATCATTGTTACAAAGTAAATAAGATATCCTTTGTTTCTACTATTTCAGCGATACCACACCTATACACTGGTTACGAAGTCACTTCTCTAAACCAGTAAACATAATTGAGGTCAGTAGAGCCTTGTCATATTTGGAGGCTTTTTTGTGGTAGGTAAGATGGTCTTTGAATGTGAAGGCAATGTAGCACAGTATGGACTGTCAGCTGGACAGGAATTTGGGAGTCCCAAATACCGTTCCTTAGGTTCATCTCTGCCACTGGTGCACTGTATCCCTGGGGCAAATCCTGTCTCTCTCCTAAAGCTGCTTCCAGATTTATATAACGTAGTCAATATTTACCTCCTTTATAAAGCTATTTGAGATGCAGGAATGATATCCAAGTACTTGTACACTGTAAGATTCCTTAGTAGTAATAGACAAGGAAAGGACAATTAAATTCCTTATTTGTTAAAATTCATGGTCATTGGCTCTTGGTTTTGTTTATATTTTTTGAGGTAAAATTCAAGAGCTAGTTCATAATACTACATGTTAAGCAATATATTATGGAAGTAGATGCATCAGATACATGTATGAGGATTTTTATGTCAGTAGCTAGCTGATGGCTCAGGTGGCTGGAAAAGCTGAAAGTGGTATCGACTTTCTTACCTCTTCCTCACTTTCTCGTCTTCTGTAATGTACATGAAGTCCTATATTTCCTATGATAGGAAAGTTATCCTCACTTCTCTTGCTTCAGAATAAGCATCTGTTTCTGATAAAACAACATTCTGCCAAACAAAATAATGAAACAAAAGCCAGTTACTAAACCTGAAATCAGCAGTGTTTTAGATATGTTTACAGTAGCATTTCTTTAGGATTTCAAATATATAGTCCTTTTTTAAGATCATGATTTAGTTAACTAGTCTTTTTGAATGACTGGTAGGCAAGTGTTTGCAACAATCAGTTTTTTGTGGATATATATTTTTCTATTCTGCCATATAATAGCCCTCTTAATCAAGTTGGAAGAAATTAGCTGCTTTGGCTATGCAAACAGGCAGCTAGTGGAGTAGTTACTCTAATCTAGGAACTGGCAATTTAGCACAC